GCGCAAACAAGCAATTCTGGATTTATTCACTTACTCTTGAATCTGACAGTTACTATTGTAACTGAGCGCACACTTGAGGATGGAATCCAACGTCATCAGACTCACATAATGGAACAGCTCCACCTCACCTCTCCCCTGAGCAGACCACTTCTCCTAGAGAACAAAAAAGATTGGTTGTCCTTTGTTAAGCTGTAGAGCAGATTTTTAAGATGTGTTACTCTTACCCTAGACTGCTTGCAGCTGGCCCAGGGGTACTTCCTATAAAGGCATATAAGAGGAGGCTCCACCCGAAAGGGGTATTTTTTTCGGACTTCAGGTATATAAAAGGGCACGGATTTTACAAGGTTAAGTATATGAAACGGTTGGGAAATCTGTCATTTAGTTATTTTAAAGGGCCTCTAATTAAAATACTTCGGACAGACGCAACTTATGTGTTTGAATCATCTAATTTATTAGGCACTGCATGAAAATGACAAGACGACTTTCCTTTCTGGTTATTCATTCATAATACAGGTCAGTTATGAAAGCATGTACAAAGAGTACCTTCACCCTCAAAATGGTATACAAAAGGGTAAGAGGTTTGACATAGGGGCAGAGCCTTCCCATCTAAATCTTTGTAGAGTAGCCTCTCCCCACCAAAACCCCTCTCCGGGGCAGCCGGTCCCCTCTCTTAGGGTCCAACGAGTGTTTATTCCCGTGAGTGTGAACGTAAAGGGGCGGTATGAATGAGGAGGGGACAAAAGAAAAACACATATTATATCTCGCCTAACCATATCCTGATGGAAGACAAACATTTTAAGTTTTACTTACTAGGAGAACATTTGTGGAATCTTGGAAAACTTGGACGTATGATCTGAGGATCTCGAAGTGGAAAGCTGGGGTAAGAAGTCTTCTCATCCGGAACCACTTGTCTCCATTTGAAGCTATCAGTCCATCTCCTGAAAAAACAGAAATACTGTATTTATCCCTTGCCTTGATAAATACAGCCAATACGAACCCTTCAAAGTTGTCCATATGCCAGATTTAACGATATGAGTTTCGAATAAAACTAATCTAGGATATGGTTGAAACACCTAAGGATGTTCTTCAGAAAGTCTTCGGAAATGTTTAGTAAATTTCTTTCTCTGTGTCTGCGTTTTTGGTAATTGCCAAATTTATCTTCAGATTTGAGATTTTCAGATTTTTTTATTGCTTTGCACTGTTTACATTTTTTAACAAGCGATCTAATATATTGATCTAATACATTGATCTAAGACAGTAGAACCTCCGGTTACAACCACCTCTCGTAAGCGACCTCTCCTTAGTGACCAGTTTTCCAAAATACCAAACGTTTCCAAGTCAAATCACCATATTTGGAACTTCTTATAAGCAACCACCTCTTGAAAGCGACCGCGACCACTTTTAGAGCTAAAATTTTGAAATTTTCCTTTGTTTTTAACCTTCCGTTAGCGACCACAGGACAGATAATGGAGCGAAAAATGGCTAATAAGGTGTTGTAACATCGTTTTCCTGGCTAGTACAAGCAACCAAAATTTCACACTGGGAAGAACCAGATTTTTTTCTCGAAATTGACTTTTACACGAAAAAACATTGCATCGACATTGGTGCATGGGTTAAGCCTCGGCAGTTAACCTCTTGTAAGCGACCATTTGACAGATAACAGAGCAGAAATTGGATAATAAGGTGTTGCAATATTATCGCAATCCTGGATAGTACAAGGGACGGAAATTTCTCAATGCAAAGTACCAGATTTTTTCTCGAAATTGACTTTTCACATGAAAAAAAATTTAAAACATGGGGTAAGTCTCTGCAGTTACCTTATGCTAATGAGATGACATTTTGACCTAACATGGTCTAAGCCCTCGTAAACGACCGCCTCCCATAAGCGACCACCTAGGCTTGGTCGCTTATGGGAGGTTTGACTGTATATCTACTATATCCTCCTTAATATGTTGGTCCATCCCTAATTTGTTGCTACAGCGCGATTGTCACGCGACATGCTAGAAACATCTATAAGGGAAAAGCCTTGGGAACGAGGTTGCAGAGAACCATGACTCACCAAAGAAGGGCCTAGAAAATCGGTACGTGTATGATTTTGGAGCATTACTAGACTGAATGACCTTGATCGTGTCCGGATGACAGAGTGCTAAGACACCAGTCGTAGGAGTTCTCCAAATGATGTAACATTTTTTGAATTCAGTTGCACATTTGACATGCCACTGAAGAGCCCCATCGTGGTTCTTTATCTGAAGAGAGAAAAAAAAAAAAAAGAAAAAATCACAATCAAGTACATCAATGAAGAGAAGAGAGGGGCTGCTGAAAGGAGCCTTATTGACGAGGAGGGTAAAAAGGAAATGTATGAACTGAGAATCAGAACTACTCGTGTGATAGCCAAAGGCATCATTCTCAGATTCCTTGTGCCGAGATTGCGTGACCGTTGTTATTAGATATCACGAAACAATATGCAAGCTCTACGGGAATGTAGCGCACATATTCCATGATGAGAGGGTCGTATTTTGAAATAAGCTACTGGCTGCATCAGAGGCAGCCAAAGCTTGAAAGTTATGAGCGATGACTGTCTTTCTTAATAGCATTCAGGGCAAATAAGAAAACTTTATTATGCGCAGATTGCTCACGGCCTTTGATGATCATAAACTTGCACCGCCTGTGGCTGCACACCCTGGCTGCAAACCCTGGCTGCACACCCTGGCTGCACACTCAAAAAATATCAGGAAGTACGAACATACCTCCCCTTGGTATTCCCGTTAGCATATGGTCAAAAGAAGGGAATCTATTCCTCTCCAAGTTTATCTCGCTTGCAAAAGGATTTCTTTTGTCTTTCCTCCCGTGACAGATCCTGTTCACAAGCTGAAAAAGATGTGGGCAGACGCCAATGTTCTGGCATTGGCTTAGCGCCAAAGAGGGCGGGGTAAGGCTAATCTATGGAACTGCAGACCGGGGAACCACAGAACATGCGGAACCTGCTAAACGTAGAGAAATGACTGTTTTTACAGCACCTAGTCGACTCAACTATTCGCTAATTTGAATCATCACTAGAAGTGATTACGTTAACGGTGACAATCCGGTGAATTCCATATTTCCAGTAATTTTCCATTTTCGGGAGACTTCTTGACAACCTGAGTCACGTGCTATTGCTA